CTACTTTACAATCACCCAGTTACGTTGTGACGTTTGGTAGCACCCAAAGTGTTCCTCCGGCAAACGGGAGTTGCATAATCTCATAGTCATAGGAACATGTATAAGTCATGAAGAAAGCAATAGCAACATACTAAACGATCGGGTGCTAAGCTAATGGAATGGGTCATGTCAATCAGATCATTCAACTAATGATGTGACCTCGTTAATCAAATAACAACACTTTGTTCATGGTTAGGAAACATAACCATCTTTGATTAACGAGCTAGTCAAGTAGAGGCATACTAGTGACACTAAGTTTGTCTATGTATTCACACATGTATTATGTTTCCGGTTAATACAATTCTAGCATGAATGATAAACATTTATCATGATATAAGGAAATAAATAATAACTTTATTATTGCCTCTAGGGTATATTTCCTTCACAATGTAGACATGATTGAGACAAATCTCCGGTCAATAACCAACAGCGGGACCTGGATGCCCATATTGGCTCCTACATGTTCTACGAAGATCTTTATCGGTCAGACCGCATAACAACATACGTTGTTCCCTTTGTCATCGGTATGTTACTTGCCCGAGATTCGATCGTCGGTATCCAATACCTAGTTCAATCTCGTTACCGGCAAGTCTCTTTACTCGTTCCGTAATACATCATCTCGCAACTAACTCATTAGTTGCAATGCTTGCAAGGCTTATGTGATGTGCATTACCGGGAGGGCCCAGAGATACCTCTCCGACAATCGGAGTGACAAATCCTATTCTCGAAATACGCCAACCCAACATCTACCTTTGGAGAAACCTGTAGAGCTCCTTTATAATCACCCAGTTACGTTGTGACGTTTGGTAGCACACAAAGTGTTCCTCTGACAAACGGGAGTTGCATAATCTCATAGTCATAGAAACATGTATAAGTCATGAAGAAAGCAATAGCAACATACTAAACGATCGGGTGCTAAGCTAATGGAATGGGTCATGTCAATCAGATCATTCACCTAATGATGTGATCCCATTAATCAAATAACAACTCTTTGTTCATGGTTAGGAAACATAACCATGTTTGATTAGCGAGCTAGTCAAGTAGAGGCATACTAGTGACACTAAGATTGTCTATGTATTCATATTATGTTTCCGGTTAATACAATTCTAACATGAATAATAAACATTTATCATGATATAAGGAAATAAATAATAACTTTATTATTGCCTCTAGGGCATATTTCCTTCAATTGGTGCATAACCGGATGTTTTTTTTCTTCTGAGGATTAACGGAGCGTTGGTTGGTGCTTCCAAATATAAGATGTCCCTTTATTTCCTTTGTGACATACGTGATGTTTTGTTTGGAGGAGTCCTTATCATGTACGTGATTATGCTTGATTTTTTCCATTATAGACATATACGTGACAGTCTTTTGTTTACTTGGCATGTGATAGAAATTGCTCATACACAATATTTGTATGTAACGTTAGATCTTTAAATCTCAACCGTCTATATCTAAAATTAACGGTTGAGGTAATTTAATCTGTGTGGAAGAACGTGGTGGCTTATTTGTCTTCTGTATTATGTATATAATAGATAGATTAGTTCATCGGCGCTTTCTGCATAAAGAGTGAGATAAAGGAGTTCACTTTGGATCCAATAAAATGGAAAAAATATACACGTAGGAAAAATGCAAAAACCACTAGACCAAGATTGTGTATGATTCTTTTCTTTTCGAAAAGGAGATTATCCCCCGGCCTCTGCATCAGAACGATGCATGCAGCCATCAAGATTGTGTATGATTCTAGCTGGGATTCAGTCCTCTGCTCATTCTGGTCAATCTGTTTATGAATATATAGATAGACAGTTACATGCATCTGACAGAGAGTGATTGTTGCAGATCGATGCTGAGCACTTGTTACAAACTGTCGTGATCCAATGCAGATCATGAAGTGCAGTTTCAGTCTGTGAAAAGCGCACCCCATTCAACCGGGTTAACGATGCAGTTTCAGGAAATTGCATGTCCTCCAAGCAACCTATAGCAGACGGCATGATCTCTACAACACTCTGTCTCTATAAACTCTTTGTATTGACTTCCTTCACCTGCTTGGCACAACACCCAAGTCATGTTATCTCTGTCAGCTTCAACTATTTTGCCATTCACCCAAGTTGAATGGAAAAATGAGATGTTCTTGTTCGCAGCTTTTATTATTTCTAGCTTTTAGGCGATGTTTCAACTGAAATCAGTTGTGAGATCGCAGCAAAGTACAAAGGAAGGGATGAACTTAAAAATGCAGGGCAAATGGAGAAAATAGTTTCTGCTCTCATCATTTCCCCCCTCTCTTTGTAGTTCTGAAGGGATTACTAAGATTCTACTCTGTGTTGTACACGCTCATTTGCATTGGATTACGATCAATTAACCTGACAATTCTTTTCTCCAGCAAAAATTGGATGTCAATTCTTCTCTCAAAGGAGCTTCGGCTACACCGGTCCACCTTCTCTAGGAGGTGCCTTCTCCCGTGCGTAGCAGACAGCCTTCGCCATGGACTGGGTTGTTCCAACAAATGACAGTTAAGGATCAGGAGGAGCATTCATTTATTGATCATCGGGATTACAAGCCATAACAGAGAGGCAGATTACAAGAAAAATACAGATCTTAATCGGTATCCCCCATTAGCTGTCAAAAACAAAGATGCAGCAGACACATCGGCAGTCGTGAGTACAACCACATCCGGAAAAGTTAGACATTCGTGGCGGGCTCCTTCCTTAATCAGCTGCCCCTTTTCACTTCCCCAGCAGGTCTACGGAAGATAGACATAGTGCGATGCATGTGGTAATTATACACTGGTATAAATGATGAACTTCAACAGAAGGGCGGTTCGGGTGCATCAGCAAGGCCTGCTTGAATGCGTCCTTGACCTCTTTCAACGTCTCCACCGTATTCTTATTATTGCAGACCCCATGCACTTTGATCTCCTGGAGGTGTAACAAGTGCTCCATGCCGACTGGTACAGTGCCGCCCCAGTGGGACCCATGGATCCTGAGTGTTCTTAAACTGGGCATAGCACCTGCCTCGAAGCCCAGGTACGCTGTAGTGTCTTTCCTAGACCAGAAATTTAGGAACTCCAGAACTGGGAATAGCCCCGTGCCTAACATAGCTCTTTCATCAGGGATTTCACATGCTCTGAATTCGAGGTGGATGAGGGAGGGAAGTTTTCCAAGCAGATGAACATCCTGAGTTGATGTCTCTTCAACATACAGCTTAAGCAAGCGCAGGGAATGGAGACCACACAACCATTTTGGAACTTCCATAACCGCCAAAATTGCAATTCAAGACGCTCAATATGTTCAAAAGGATTAGATGATGAGCGCTGCTGGCTATGCTCACATTCAGCAGGATTGCCAGAGATGAACAAATATTCAAGGTTATAGAGCTTTTCAATGAAGCAGATCAAAGCATCAATTTTTGGCAACTCCAAACTAGTATCTATTGACATATGCAGTTCCCTCAGATTGAACAACTCGCTGAGACCCATAAAACACTTCAGCGATTTCATGTCAAGCCCTCGCAGGGAGTGCAGTGATTTCATATTCTCGATACCTTCAGGCAACTCTGTCCAATTTGGAAGAACCAGACAGGACAGGCGGGGCAAATGAACTATATCTGAAGGGATACTCTTTATCAGTTCACAATCATTTATGTCCAGCGTCTCCAAGTAAACAAGCTCATGTTGTTACATTTTCCTTCCCGATGGGGCCAAGTTTTATACATTTGGTTTGGCAGCTATTTGTTGGGCAATTTGGACCAGTCGCAATCAGGCTACCTTTGAACATAAATCTCTTAAAAGTCATTTTAATGTGGTTTATGCTGCTTGTGGCTTTTTGACATACTGGGCAGGTTTGATGGCTGGTGAGGATCGAGAGTCCATGGAGCGCGGAGCCAAGATGCTGAGATCGAATGCCTCGACGATGATGAGGATTTGTGCACCTCCATCGGCGACGAACTGAATCTACCCCACCAAGGCAGAATAGAGCTTCAAAACTGTGCGCAGCCGTTTGGTGGATCGCATTCCTGCGCGAGGGTCTTTTGCTCCCCTGTATCTTGCCTGCGAGCAGGGCGTTTGTAGTACTGTTATGTTTCCTGTTGAAGTTTGTCTTGAACTGGTTAGGTCTAGTGGTTTGCGTGATGCTAGGTGTCATTGGGTTTTCGTCCCGCGATGGGCTGCTCGATGACGAGTGCTCATAGTGGGTTTCCCAGTGATGCTTTGATCTCGCCTTACCCCTTTCTCGTTTCCTTATGCTGTAGTCGCTTATACTGGGTCGGTGTTCGCTGAATGTTGAACTTTGTATTTCCGTTATGCATTTAATGGAAAGGGGTTGTGGCCCGGGTCAAAAAAAAGTAAACAAGCTCACCAAGTTGAGTAGGGAGCTCTATCTTCCAAGCTCTAACCATCAGACACCTCAGCAGAAACAATTGGCTAGCAGCGGTGAGGTCAACTATCTCCCGGTCATTGAAAATGATTAGCACCCTAAGGTACTTGAACCACAAAAGAGGGAGTATAGCGTTCTTGAGCAGTAATGATCGAACTTGTGACAGCCTAGTAGCAATAGCAGTGTCATATGTTGCTCCACCAACAGCCATGGAGCACAGGGATAACCGGCGAACCTTGTATTTGCTGAGATGCAGCAGTCTTGCCATGTCCTCAGAATTGTGTGCCACACTTACAAAATTATCTTCTACACACTTGCTTAAGATCAAATCAAGCATCATGTCGTGTACTCTGCAAGACAACACCTCTCCGTAGCTAATTTCACATGGCTGAATAATGCTTCTATTGACGAGCTCATTGAAATAACTCTTGCCAACATCCTACAAATCTGGCCCATGCAAACTGCTGACAAAGCCTTCACCTATCCATTGTTTAACTAGATCATCCCGTAGTATGATGTGGTCCTCAGAATACATACCAAGGAACAGAAAACATGGCCGGAGATGAAGAGGAAGATGTGTGTAGCTAAGGTTTAATATTTTTTTATCTCTTCCAATGAAGGATTTGTGGCAGGTTGGGCACCCAGAGATTTCCTTATGCTCGCCCAGTGTTTCCTTGATTTCACTTGAGTAGCTAATAGGCTAGCTATAGTGATAATTGCGAGCGGCATACCACCACACTTCTTCAGAATTTCAGCCGCAACATCTTTAAGATGGGGTGGACAAACAACTTCAGACCCAAATACTCTATTTGAGAATAACATTCTTGAGTTCTGATCACTGAGGGGCTTCATTGCGTAAATGCACTCACGGTTATTATGACAGGCCATGCCAGCCACATCTTCCACTCGTGTGGTTACAATTATTCTACTCCCATTTCCATTTTCTGGAAAAGCACAACTAATAGTATTCCATGCTGATTGATCCCACAAGTCATCAACTACAATAAGGTACCTGTTGAAATGTTTGCACATGGTTATAATGTAGCAGGATATGACTACGTTGAAGAAAGAAGCATGCAAAATAAAAACAAAATTGATGTAAGCAAATCTATTGCTCGGATGGTTGGTCCCTCCCTCTCTCTCCACCTCCCTCCTCCCGCCCTCCCTCACAAGACTCTTCCAATAAACATCTTAGCAATTTTTTTACACTGAGTGAAAAAAGTACAATACATCAATCAAATTTTTCAGAAGATGTATAGTGTGGGATCTGTTAAAGAAACATTATAGAATTGCACACTTTGATGAGAGATATGAGCAAGAGGCTTCAAGAAAACTTGTGTTTTCAGAATTATATGAAGCCAGTAAAGAAACAAAAAATCCATTGGTATTTGAATCCGAGTACCCGGGAAAAAGACAGTGTTTCTGCTCCAACATGTTTTTGTAATTTTGAATCTATATCACAATCGTAAAAACAAGAAAAAAAATTCAAACTTCCCACATGCATGGACAAACAAGCATAACCAGAACATGCACACCAATTACTTGATACTTCAAATTTAAGATAGTAGCCATTGCAAATGACTATAGAACGTAAGTAATTACCTTTTATCTATGAGATACTTCCTTAGCTCTTCAATGATGTCGTCAAACCCGCAATCGTGAGAAGATACATTTATCCCAAGTTTCAGTTGTAGGCGATTGAGAAGCACTCTCAAATCAGGCCTCTGCGAAACTGAAAAGAATGCCACACAAACAAAATGCCCTTTGATCTTGTCAAACACCTGTTTGGCAAGTGTAGTTTTACCCAGGCCTCCAAAACCAACAATGGACACAACCTTTAGTTTTTTCTGAGTATTCATCAACCAACTAATAACCTCTTCTCTAGGGCCTTCAATGCCCACAAGGTTGGCCGCCTCCTGGTAGACCGCTCGCAAACGAGTGTCAACAGCCACAGGGCCAAAGCTAGGCTTGCAATCATCAATCTTGTAACTCTCTCGTCGAGCATTTGCTTCTACCGCAAGAGTCCTAAGCTCTTCCACCTGGTTGGAAATCTGATGAAGCTCGCACAACCTCTTGTGAAGTTCAGCAGCCTCCCAGAAAAAACCTACCTCAACATCCTCACCCCCGAATTGGCGGATGAAGTCATCAATGCAATTTTCCATGTCGTAGGAAATCTCTCTGAGATCATCCCTCCAATTTTTTTACACTTGGAGCAAGCTCATTCATGAGCTCCGGCAGCTCAAGAGCAGCATGTATGGCACTCAACTCCTTCTCAAGGAACGACGTCTGCTTCCTTACCTCTTTGCGCTTATTGTACTCATCGTTGATGAAAGTGGTAAGCTTGCCACTAAGGGTGCTCATCACCCCGGTCGCCACACTCACGGTTGATGCCCTCCTCTTCTTCTGTTGGCTCACTTTGGCATCCTCCTGCTCCACCTCCAGCGATGATGGTTGCAGTTGGAATGGTGCAACATAATCATCCACCAACTTTAGTTCATCCGCCATCTTGGAGAAGCTTATCTGCGCACAAAAAACAAGATTAGGAGAAATCACTAAATAGCACATATTGTACTAGGCGCCCATGGATAAGGTAAGCCTGCCACCGAGCATGGTTGATGCCTTTCTCTTGATCTCTTGTCTCACCTTGCCATCCTCCTTCTCCACGTCCAGTGCCGATGGTTGCAGTTGGGATGGTGTGATAGAATTATCCATCAGCTTGCCACTAGCGACAGAATTACCCATCAACTTCAGCTCATCCGCTAGCTTCGAGGAGCTTATCTACAATAAAAATGAAAACATGTTTAGGAGAAATCACTAAATAACACGTATTGTACTCGTTGCCCACGAACATGGTAAGCTTGCCATGCAGGATGCTCATCACCCTAGTCGCCACACTCACGTTTGATGCCTTCCTCTTCCTCTCCTGGCTCAATTTGCTATCGTCCTGCTCCACCTCCAATGTTGATGGTGGCAGTTTGGATGGTGTAGCAGCAGAACCATCCATTAATTTCAACTCATCCGCCTGCTTGGAGGCAATGCTTATCTGTAACAAAAATAAAAAAATGACCATGACACATCACTGAATAATTACTGGTAGATCACATACGTTTACTATTGAGTGATTGTACCTGCCCTTCTGTTGAGGCACCTACATCACTTGTAACAGGCCAATTTGAAATTTCCGCGTCACCCAGTATTCTATGGATGATAAACCATGTAGTCGGCCTGTTCCCTGGGTAATAGTTCGTACATTGTATCCCTATCTCGGCACATGCCTTTACTTGTTCCAATGATGTGTGACTATTTGATATCCCAAACATGTCCGTCCAGCTTTCAACTACCTGCAATTTGATAACCATGGTTTGTTATAAAGAAGGACGACATGCATTTAGGACAGAAAAACAAAAACACGCAGCCGTATTGATCAGGACCAGAGACCAAATGCAAGGATTACTATCACAAACAAATTTGAATTTCTCACTTGATTAATTTTGCGTTATTAATCTTTCGATGCACATAATGACTTTAGAAATCAAAATCAGCTTTATTTTACTTTATGTTTTGGGTGGAAGATCATTGCAAAGACAACATTCAGATCTTGTCATTTGCAAATTCTAATGTTAATTAGATACACTAACTGAATATATGTTGAATTTTTTTTCCAACAAGATTGTGGTTTCTTCTAAACATGTTGTCTACAATTTTTTTTGTTGAAACCTCACATACAAAATAATTACCTCCTTAACACTGGAGCACTCCTTATGTCCCATAAGGATCTGCATTACAATAACGCCCAAACTATATATGTCGGTCTTGAAGGTGATTTCTCCACTAATTAAGAATTCTGGTGCCATATATCCCCTCCACAAAATTTTGGTGTAGTCTGTTCGATTAGGTGAATGAAGAGTATGCAATTTTTTTTTGCAGATGACTAATAAAAATGTTAAGTTCGCAAAGAAAATTGCTAGCCTACATTGTCCCAAGCTTGTGCTCAGTAATAGCCCGACTCTGGCTTCCACTTAAGCGATGTGATAGACCGAAATCCGCAATTCTGGGCGCCATGTTATCATCCAATAATACATTCTGAGGTTTGAGGTCCATGTGAATAATACCCTGTTGGTGAAGATAATGTACGCCCTCACAGATCCCCTTAATTATTTGGTAACGTGTGGTCCACTGAAGTCGACAAGATGCATCTGCGAAGAGGACACAGTATAACAAATAGTTAGTACCATATGCGGTGGAATAAGCAGTCCAACGAAACAAAAAAGGGCCTTCGTGAATGATTGCCCGATTTCGAAAGTTAATAAATATGCTAACAAGTTCAAAGGAAGTTCTCGAAACACCCATCTCATTGTCAAAACGTGGGAGATACTCCGATATTTTTTTTGGATGCTCGATTAAGCTCTATCCACAACAGGAAAAGATATTTGTTACTGCGCTCCTCTCTCTGAGGCAAAGAGGATGAGAATTCAAAATATGTCCAAACAGAAGAGTGCATGTTTTGCAGCGGTATAAGAACAGAGCTGAAAACTACTCGCCCCGTCCCATAATGTAGGACTAGTGTCAAAACACATCCTACATTATGGGACGGAGGGAGTACCATTTAGTGTGCAAAAGGAATTAACAAAGCTCAGAAGAGTGGCAAACAATAAATACTCTGGACTGTAGTTGGTAGACATTTGTTACTACTATAGTAGAAACGCAAAGAAAACTATAAGGCTAATCTGACTTTACCGGAGACATAGTCAGCAAGGCATCCTTTGGGCATGTACTCAAAGCAGAGCAGCCTATGCCGCACATCTGCCAAGACACGCTTCCCATCATATGGCATCAGTACTTGCTGCGTCTCAGAGCAGTACCCGAGAAATCTCACGGTATTCTTGTGCTTGACCCCCGCGAGACAGGTGACCTCGGTCTCGAAATTCTTGTCCAGGATCTCGTACCTCTCGAAGAGCTGCTTCACCGCGATAGAGCGACCACTTGGAAGCACTCCCTGCATCTCACATAGAATCTGTGTCAGCTTTCTGGTTAATTCAGTTCAGGGTGGAGGGTATGCTTGCTTACCCTGTAAACGGCTCCGAACCCGCCCCTGCCGGTTTCCTGAGCTTCAGAGAAATTTCCTGTGATGGAGCTGAGCAGCGAGAAAGGTAGATTGACTGGATCCGCAGTTTCATCGAGCAACACTTTCTCCAGAGCAGCAAGTTCGCTGCCTTGGCCGCCGTCCGTCATCTCGGTTGTGGAAGTTAGGTGTTATTCTCCTGAAACATGCATAATTAGTGTTGTTCATTAGCCGTACGTGCAAACAAGAAGAAGCAGCAATTTTTGCAGAAAAATATTACTGTATATCTATCTGAAGTTCTGAACTCTGAAGTCGACTTGGATCTAAAAATTCTGAAAGAGAGGACGGACTTGTTCTCTTGATTATGTATGGCAACAAGAAAAGAGAATCTGTGTGTAAGAAATTACAGAAGTGATATGTCTATCTGATGAAGTGTGAAAGAGACATCGATATAGAAAGTCTTAATCTGAAACAAATCGGACGGACCTTTGTTCTCCATTATATAGTTAGCAACCAAAAAAAGCATTGAAGAAAAAGGAGCCCCCTGATTAGATCCACGGAGGATACGGATCTAGCACTAACTAACCAAAAAACCAGGGACGAGTTCCCATCTATCACCCACCTTATTGGCTTACGGTAGGTACCCTTTTCTGCCGGGGGAAGCGGCGCCGGGGCCCGGAGGACAAGCGTCAAAGGATGGCTGAGGTCGGGCGGGCCGGAGAAGAACTTGACGGCAAGGGTGGAGGCGCCCTCGCCGGAGGAGTACCCTTCTTGACAGGGAGGGAGGGTGGGAGCGGAGAGGCGGATGCGGAGGGGGGAAAGCGGCCGTGCCGACAATGAAATGGAGGACGAGTGGACGACCAGGCTTGACCTGGAGTCTGTGGGCGGAGACTCAGTGGAGAAAGAAAAAGCGGCCGTGCCGACAATGAAATGGAGGACGAGTGGACGACCAGGCTTGACCTGGAGTCTGTGGGCGGAGACTCAGTGGAGAAAGAAAAAGCGGCCGTGCCGACAATGAATGTTAGGATAATCATGATTGAGTCAGTTGATTATGTCGTATGTGTCATGCACGTAGGTTAGTTAGACTCCAGAGTTGTTAGCTACGTGCATGCATGGGATGGATATGGTTGCATGTGGTTGAGATATTCTGGGAGGTGGGCGTCCCTGTGTGTGCATGGATAGAGTTTGTTAGACTCCACACTCCAGGGTAGTTAGCTATGTGTGCGTTCAGGCTGCGGGGGTGGCCGGTGAGTCTGGCTATTTAAGCATGTAATCCAGTCCGTTGTAGAGCGCGGGGTATGTGCCCGGTTAAGAGAAAAAGAAAGGCCGTGCGTGCGGTCGTTGCGCCGTTCGTCGGCGTGGCGCCGTTCGTGTGGCACGACGTTCGTCGTCTGAAAAATCCAGTGCGTTGTGCTCCTTCTTCTACCTCTGTTCAAGCGGGTGAAAGAGAGAGAGAGGTTCGTCCGGCGTTCGTGTCGCCGAAGAGTACGCGGCGTTCGTCGCCCGACCGGGTTTGTCCCAACAATGAAATGGAGGACGACCAGGCGGAGACTCACCGGAGAAAGAAACCACGCACTACTCCTACTCCCACTCCACTGTTTGCAGTGATTCATGGTCCGTGACTGTTGAGTGTGTCCACCTTTCCATGGTATGCCGAGCGCGTGAGGCAATTGCTTTTGAAAATTTTATTTGCTCTTCTCCCAGTGCACCTTACTACTATAGTTTCCAGATAATTACCAACGCTATAAATCCAACCATAACCCCGGTTTCCTAAAAAAACATAGTCTTGGTTTGGACTCATTGATTTCTTTTCCATTTTCAAAGCAAAATCCACACTAGAACTAGAAGGGGAGGGTATATACAACAGGAAATAGCCCACTTGTGCTTTTGAATAGTCACGTGTCACTTATGTTGATGAAAGGGGGGACACAGCTCATGCGCTTCGAGAGAGAGTCGTGTCTTCTGGCTCAACCCCCTATCTTCTCCGACGGCTGGAGCAGAAATGGGAGAGGTGCTCGGTGTAGTTATGTGAAAAGAGCATCTAGTTTTAGGTTGTCTTCTGCCCATGTGGCGTCTAGTGATATGTCGATGTGCAGAGGATGCCGCCGCTTCAAGCGAGCAGCGGTTGCTGGCTTTTGGTGGTGGCGATCCTGGTGGTGCTGGCTGATGGTCAGCTGCTGCTATGGAACGCAAAGTCGGTGCCTCCACCAACAAGCTCTGTGATTCTGTCCTACAGTGGCGCTTTGCTCTCTCTCCATCTTCCAAGGTCACTATGGTGGTGGAATCGAAGCATAGAGGAGATGGTAATCCTGATCGGGTTTGTGATCATCCTCGATGGCTGATTGGGACTGGTTGCAAAGCCAGCCAAGGTGCTCGGTTATCGGCTGACTCCATCTCGCCGTCTTACATGCAGGCCGAAGGGCGGCCTTCTTATTTCTTCCTACTGGCCAAAAAGGCCTAAAGGTAAGCAGCACATCTAGTCATCTTCTCCGTGGCATCTATATCGTGGTGCCATGGAAGCTTCTCCGTCCCAAGAAGTGTTGTCCCTAACGACGACGTAGCTACAACCATGAAGAAGATGTCAGGGACCCGATTACGTTTCTCATCTAGTAAGTCCTATCACATCATATATATTCCATGTCCTCTTTTTTAATACAAAGGCTCCCTTTTTTAGCTCGAAGGTGCTGCATTTTATTCTATCATCCTGGCAAGATCGAAGTTCAAAACCGAACGGAACCAATGCAACGAAATACAAAACCAAGTTTTAACAATAGCATGCTATCTCGGGCTATAGCATTTGGAGGGGAGTCAACCCAATAGCATCATGTACAATTTAGTGGCTTTAGCATGCTATTGAGGGCAGTAGTAGTGATTAGCGACGCGTCTTACCCTAAATTTTGTTAGTGTCATCGTCTTGCGCCTCCTTGCCTTACCGGCAGTGGCATTTCCTATTTGGTGCTTAAGGCGTCCATCTCTATGCATTTAGCGGACATGCGAATCCCCCTCGTGTTGGGTCAGCCCATTTGCATCTCTTCCTTTTTTTCTCTTAAACTGCAAAAAAGGTGCATCAACCGCATTAACCACTAGGGACAACAAACACCTATGCCTTCATACTTCTTCATTTTTTTATTCTTTCTTAGTTTGCGTAAAGCCCCCGATTTAACCGGTTTTTTCCGGTTCGCTTGACATTTTTTGGACAGTTTCTGCACTGTTATTTTCCTTTGTTTCTTGTTTCTTTTTTGTTCTAGTTATTTTTCCTCTTCTTTTTTCTTGGTCCTTTCTTTGTTTTTCTTAAATGCTAAAAGAATTCATATTTGTTAACTTTTTTCAAAATCGATGAACTTTTTTCAAATTCACAAATTTTTTCTTCAAAATGGATGAACTTTTTTTGATTTGTTTATATTTATTTTTCAGAATTGATGAAACTTTTTTTAAAACCGATGAACTTTTTTTCAAACTCATGAACATTTTCCAAAATCATGATTTGTTTTACAAAATCGATGAACTTTTTTCAAAATCGACGTTTTTTTTAAAAAATTGAACTTAAATTTAAATTCGATTATTATTTCCCAAATTCATGAACTTTTTTCAAAAAGGGAAAACTTTGTTTTTGCCACTCTAGCTTTTGCCTACTTTGCTTATGCCACTCTAGAATTTGACATATCACTTTTGCCACTCTTAGTTTTTGACAATGCATCACAAATGCCATTCCGTGGCAAAAGCAATAACTTTTCATTTCACTTTTGCCACTCTTAAATTTTGACAATGTATCACGATTGCCACTCTAAAATTATTGTTTTTGCCATGGAATGGCAATTGTGATGTATTGTCAAAAACTAAGAGTGGCAAAAGTGAACTGTCAAATTCTAGAGTAGCATAAGCAAAGTGGTCAAAAGCTAGAGTGGCAAAAACAAAATTTTCCCTTTCAAAAACCATGAACATTTTTTAATTCACGATTGTTTTTATTTTTCGGGAATTGTTTTAGATTTTTTTTAAAGTCAATCACGACCAGTCAGCAGCGAACAAGCGATGGAAGTGGCCAGCAAAAGCGACGTGCCAAGCGAGCGAGCACACGTGCTTGGCCGGCCCAAGTCTGTGGCTCCATACCGTTGTAACCTCAACTTCTTCCTTTATCTCGTGTTGTAACCAAACTCTTGTACCTCTCCTTGTACGCCAAGGCAAGGCCGTCGGCCTCATCAATATAAACGCACGCGGCTCCCCTCGAGGGAGTAGGAACGCTTCCACGAAATCTTACATGAACTAGAAGGGGAGGATACATACAACAGGAAAAAGCCAACTTGTGCTTTTGAATAGTCACGGGTCACCTCTATCGATGAAAGGGTGGAGACAACTCATGCGCTTCGACAGAGAGCCGCATCTTCCGGCTCAACCCCCTATCTTCTCCGACGGCTAGAGCAGAAAAGGGAGAGGTGCTCGGTGTAGTTCTGTGAATAGAGCATCTAGTTTTAGTTTGTCTTCTGCCCATGTGGTGTCTCGTGATATGTTGATGTGCAGAGGATGCCGCCGCTCCAAGCGAGCAGCGGTTGCTGGCTTTTGGTGGTGGCGATCCTGGTGGTGCTGACTGATGGTCAGCTGCTATTATGGAACGCAAAATCGGTGCCTCCACCAATAAGCTTTGTGCTTCTGTCCCTACGGTGGTGCTCTGCTCTCTCTCCATCTTCCAAGGTCACTATGGTGGTGGAATCAAAGCATAGAGGAGATGGTGATCCGGATGGGGTTTGTGATCATCCTCGATGGCTGATTGGGACTGGTTGCAAAGCCAGCCAAGGTGCTCGGTTATCGGCTGACTCCATCTCGCCATCTTACATGCAGGCCAAAGGGCGGCCTTCTTATTTCTTCCTCCCGGCCAAAAGTGCCTAAAGGGAGGCAGCTCATCTAGTCATTTTCTCCATGGCATCTATGTCGTGGTGCATTGGAAGCTTCTCCGTCCCAAGAGGCGTTGTCCCTAACGACGACGTAGCTACAACCATGAAGAAGATGTCAGGGACCCGATTACATTTCTCATCTAGTAAATTCTATCACATCATATATTTTTCATGTCCTCTTTTTTAATACAAAGGCTCCCTTTTTTAGCTCGAAGGTGCTGTGTTTTATTGTATCATCTTGGCGAGATTGGAGTTCAAAACCGAACGGAACCAATCCAACAAAA